GAGGTAGGATTGTTGTTGTTGTTGAGAGCTTTCAAGTCGTTTCAGGCATAGGTTGGCATGAGTAAGGACCGGATAAATTCCCTTGGAGGGCCGTATCCAGCCCCCGGGCCTTAGTTTGAGAACCCCTGGTATAATGTGATAACTTTAGGTAAATAATGGAATTGCAATCTAGCTACACTGTTATGTTCTCCTTCCTTTTCCATAACAGGGCATTGGCGACCTCTAGTGCTCGAACTGTGTATCTGAAAGGGTTATAAAAGAAGAAGCAGTTGTTTATAGCTCTGGAGCATCCTTATGGCATTCACTCCTCCTGATCACAAAATTAGGAAACCATTCAGGCAGCATAGTGAGGAAACATGGAAGTTGGGGATTCTGAGAGTTGTAGTCCAAAGATTAACTTTTCCAGGGAATTGTCCAGAGTCCCTGTTTCTTCCATTTGTTGTACACTGGTGACTTCTGTTTATTTTGGATCACAATTCCCAACATCCTTGTGGGTTCAGCATGTTGTTTCCGGCTGATCACTCCTATGGTCAACAAAATGAATAAAATAGAAACAGAACCAAATGTAAAAGGTTCAAGGAAATGTAACTAAAAATGTGTTGATACTACAACAATGCAGCAGCAGGTGCAAAATACTTTTACGTCTTAATTGCACAACTCCATGTACTGAATTAGTGGAAGTATTTTATAGAGACAAGTACAGGTTAGCAGCTCAAAATGGAAAGCTATATTTATCCCTCTATGAAGCTTGAACAAGGGTTTGACGCCCGGTCTTGTTTCTGAGGCCCCATCTACACTGCCAGTTTCAGAACACAGTTTAATTGCATTGAACTGAATTATTTCCCAACTGGGAAATAGAGGGAGAAAATGTGGAGGCCGTGACAGACTTTGTATTTCTAGGTGCAAAGATTACTGCAGATGCAGACTGTGGCCAGGAAATCAGAAGACGCTTACTTCTTGGGAGGAGAGCAATGTCTAATCTCGATAAAATAGTAAAGAGCAGAGACATCACACTGGCAACAAAGATCCGCATAGTCAAAGCCATGGTATTCCCTGTAGTAACCTACGGATGTGAGAGCTGGACCTTAGGGAAGGCAGAGCGAAGGAAGATAGATGCTTTTGAATTGTGGTGTTGGAGGAAAGTTCTGAGAGTGCCTTGGACTGCGAGAAAATCCAACCAGTCCCTCCTCCAAGAAATAAAGCCCGGCTGCTCACTGGAGGGAAGGATACTAGAGACAAAGTTGAAGTACTTTGGCCACATCATGAGGAGACAGCAAAGCCTGGAGAAGACAATTATGCTGGGGAAAGTGGAAGGTAAAAGGAAGAGGGACTGACCAAGGGCAAGATGGATGGATGGCATCCTTGAAGTGACTGGCTTGACCTTGAAGGAGCTGAGGGTGGTGACAGCCGACAGGGAGCTCTGGCGTGGGCTGGTCCATGAGGTCACGAAGAGTCGGAGACGACTGAACGAATGAACAACAACACACTGCCATATCAATGCAGTCAAAATATGTCAGTGTTGATGGGGCCAGGGTTATATTTGCTGTGGAGTACAGAATGTATTACAGTGAATTACAGTGGTATAGATCAAGATGCTTCTTTAGGACAGATTTGATTCAAGGTAGGTACAACATGGGAGCATCTGAAGGTGTGGCAGGATAAAATCCGGCTAGTTCCCATCATTTCCCCAGGAGCAGCACAGCCATGACCTCAGTTCCCAATAAACACGAAGGCTCCAGATTTTACAGCCCGAACCTGACAAGGAGAAAGGAGGGGGATGTATTTGCATTTAATAACTCTTGATTAGATTGTTCTTCTACGCGCCGCTGGGCGCCAGGCACAGCGGAACCACACATGGCTGTGAATCTGTAAGATGGCTTCCCGCTACAGTGGAAAGCAAAGATGGTCTCCTCTCGATCCCAGAAATACCAAATTTGAGCTGAAGAGAGAGAGGCTGGATTTTAGATCAAAGCAAGGAAAGCATCAAAACACATATTTGGGTAAATCAACTTAAAATATCCTTTTGTTCTCAATCCACTCAAGAATGCTCTCTCTTTTTTCATTAGCTTAAGTCAAGGCATATGACACAGAGATAAAAATGCTTTCCATATTCACTGTTTTCTGCATTCATGATTAACATGATTCAAACTGGAGGTTCTTCCACAGAATCCTTTCCAAACCACATTTTCTGAGTGTCCAGTGATCAGGAGTTATGGGTGCTGTGCTGTCACACCCAGACACTATGAAGTTAAAACTAAGATGTGCTTCTCTCTTTATCTGGGTGAACCGCAGGTGCATTTCTTAGATGCTCCAGATTCTCAGCAACTGAGGCCAGTCCAGAATTGAACATAAACAGAACATTTATTTTTCAAAGTCTTTGACAGACTTGGCACAGCTTGATGAAGTTACAAACACAAACAGTCAATTCAGGAAACCATATAGATGTTCTTTCTTTCCTTTTTCCTTCAGTTACCAAGTTAACTTTCTCCAACGGTAGAAAAATCCTGGGATCTTTTATCCTAACCTCGAGCTGCTATCTTTTAGAAAGAGCAGTCTGAGCTCAAGATTAGTTTTGGAGATGAAGTAATGGAGCCTCTCTCAATGGCAAGGAAATCCTGAGATATTCCCTGCCCCAGCGCCGAACTACTGTCCTTTAGAAAGAGCAGGTCTTTCTCTATCTGAGCTCAACACCAGTTTCCAAGGCAAGAGGGTAACCTTCAACCCTAATCTCAATCATACTCACAGTGGCATGTCCGAGCTGCCTAGCTTGGCCACCAGCACATCTGAGGCTTTTTCTATACTAAAAAAAGCAGGAGGGCTTTTCCAAAATGGAGATCTCATCTCCAGGAAAAAGGACGGTCTCTAGACCAAAATGATACCTTTTAAACCAATAGCTCCAAAAGGCTTGCAGGCTGACTTCCCGCCTCTGTTAATAATTGACTTTCAGGGTGCTGCTAAGACTGTAGCAACCCTGGGGAAAATGCAAAGGGATGCTATTTTATGCAACTAAAGGACAATGCAAACCAAGCTCCAGGAAGACGGAACAGGTGCTGTAATGTCTGGAAGATATTAGGCTGCACCCAAATACTTAAGTGTTGGAAATGGCAACCTTCTTCAAGCCTTCTCTGGTAATGTTTACTTATAAACCTGCTGCTTACTGTTTCCTGTATGTATGTTCTGGTATGCAGCTTCCTTTATTCTATGGTTCCCGAAAAGTTATAAAAGGGGCTGCAGACCACATGATCACTACAGACTGCTTCAGACCTCAGATCACACATTTTCTTGTTCTCCTAAGAGATCAGAGATTATAGGTTATTCAGTCTAACAACTGAAATAATTGCCCAGCATAATTACATCTGGTTGTAAACCACAAGGGAAGATTCTATTCTAAAGAGTTTTTCACTCTTTTCTGAAAGGTCGTGCTTTTCTAAAAAGTTATGATCTCCAAAAGGTGTTTTCCAAAACCTAGGGCTATCTAGCCCAACTCCTACCTGAGAGAGGACCATGTAAAGTGGTTAACGATCTCCAGAAAAATAGGGTCCACCACTCTTTGAGACAGTGCATTCCACTGTAAATGGTTTTTGCGGTAAAGAAGCCTTTTGAGGGTGCACGTGTGAGACTGCTCCACAAAAAAAATAATGCCACACATAAGGAGTTGGAAAGAAGTTGGCCACAAATTTTATTGATTACAGCAGCAAAGTAGGGTTGGTACCTGAAATGGGCAAAATCCAAGCACTGACCAACCCACCTGTTGATTGATGAGCTCAACATTCTTGTCTGTTACTGAAGCATCCAGAAATGACAGAAGAGAACCATGAAGGACTGCTGGAAACAGCTCCAGGCCTGCACTGTGTAAGCCTTGTTCTACCCAGAGCCCCCTCCTCCCAAGTCCCTGGTAGGAGACCTCTCTATCCAATTTCCAGTACACCATGGAAATATATACTTCCCGAAACCAGGATCCATGGAAAATAGCCTCCAAAAACTGTGAACAAAGAACATAGCCAATAATAATGTGTCCACATAAGGATAAGAGCATGAAATGACATTCAAGTGTTCTTTATTTACCAGATTTCTTGCTGATAATCACTGATCAACCCATATATACACCCACATAAATAACTGCTTCTTTTGTGTGCCTTCAAGTCTTTATTTATGTATTTATTTCCAACTTGTGTCAACCCTACAACAAACCTATTGCAACTTGATTTGTTCAGAAGAATGGTGATATCATCTTCCTTTTAAGGCTGGGATAAGCTGTCCTCTTCTAAGGCTGCTTCCACGGCCAAGCAGAGATTTGAACCCTAGTTCCCAGAGGTCTAGTCCAAAACTGAAACAACTATACCATGCTGGCTACCATCAGTCTGGACACAAAGTTTGGAAAAGTGACTTTTGTGACTAGGAGAACTAGAATGTCAGAGCCACTGTAAAAACTATGGTGTTCGTAATCTGAAAAGTCACCTTTCAAGCTGTTCTCTGGATGTTTCAGCCACTGACTATCCTAGTTATGGGATTTTGAAAGCTGCAGACCAATCACCCTTCCCCATTCCCCTACTTTTTCATGCTGCGTCCCAGACCATGGTCTTAAATGCATGAAGATCATGGATTACGACTTCTGGTTGCTAGGTGTTTTAATAATCTAGAACTCCTAGGTTCTATGACATCTCTAGGAGGTTCTGACATCATTCATGTCCCAGGGCAGCCTCATGCCCTAGGCTCACCCCTACCGCCTTACGTTAATAGGAGTCTGCCCATCTCTGCGGTTTCTGTGGGGAGCCCACTGTGGGCGCCAGCCCCACATGGAACTGGTACCCCGAAAGCGAGAGAGAGATGAGCCAGCCTAGTCTGGTGTTACTTTTTTCCCTAGTGAAAGTCATAGAAGGTATGCTGTGGAGGAGAAACCTCACCTGAGAAATAGTGGTGGGATGAGGAGGGTAGGGGCAAGCAGGCTCTCTCCCTGCTTCCCCCTTTAATCCTGTTTTTTGCCCCTTTCCTTCCTCCAGGTACCACGGGAAGTTTCCTCAGGCCTCTTAGTGAGTATAGAGTGACTTTTAATTTCTTTCCTTTTCTGGCTGTTTCATTCATTCTTTCCTTCCTCCTCTTCCTTCTCCCCATCCACAGAGTCCCACTTTCTCAAAGTCAAGGTTCTCCCTCTGGAGGCGATAATAGGAATCACAATATCTGTTAATTCAATGTTTTTCTTGGAGCGATGTAAATTAAATATGTGTAGTTATTTAAATGACCTAGTGTAGTGTAGTGGTTATTTATTTACTGTATATACGTGAGTCTAAGCCTAGTTTTGCAGACCCCTTTTTTAGGCTGAAAAAGTCCCCCTCGGCTTATACTCAAGTCAAGGTTACTTATTATTTTATTCCGTTATAAATACATAATACATGTATTATTATTATTATTATTATTATTATTATTATTATTATTATTATTACATTTATTGTTTTACTCTATTTATTATTGTTATTATTACATTTATGATTTTACTCTATTATTATTATTTGAAATCCAACAAGATGAGTCCACAGCAGACACTCTGCTTGCTGTTGTATTGGATCACAAGTCGGACACTTCCCAAGTGTCTAGGACTGTGTATCAGTGAATAATGCGTGCAGATCCCAGTAAGGTGGCCTTTTGCAGCTGCCAGATGGTAATCTTGTCAGCGCCGATTGTGTTTAAGTGCAGGCCAAGGTCTTTAAGCACTGCACCCAGTGTGCCGATCACTACTGGGACCACCTTTACTGGTTTATGCCAGAGTCTTTGCAGTTCAATCTTTAAATCCTCATATTGTGTCATCTTTTACAGTTGTTTCTCTTCAATCCTGCTGTCACCTGGGATTGCAACATCTATTATTATTATTATTATTATTATTATTATGACATTTATTATTTTATTCTTTTTATTTTTATTGGAGTGTTTCCTATTGGATAGGGAGATACAAAGTTGGAAAAAGCTGAAAGTTGGCTATACTAGTCTGCATGCCCAATACTGTAACCTAGTATCAGACAGACCAATGTTACAAAAGTCATCATACAAATCTTTCCTTTGACAAAGACTGTAGGAAAGTGAAAGATTCTTCATTTTTCTTAGCATGCCACCAAGACATCTCGTACAGGAAAATCTGTGGAAGTGCAGCTGAACAGTTCTACCCCAACCAGTGCCACCTGAAAAACTGCTGTTATAGCAACCTTACCTGCTACCACCATGCTATTGATGGTAAGACTGAGACTGACAATGTCTAGGTATCTTCCTTCACAGGAAGCTTCTCTGCTTCGTGGCTACCATAGTATTCCAGTGTTCATATTGCAATGGAACAAAGTTGGACAAGGCATTTCTGTGTGTACATGAGTGCTGCAAACCTACTTAAAGGGCTGCTGGGAGCTGTCATTTGACCACAGTACTGACAATTTTCTTGGAAATCTTGAGATCTCTTAACCAAACTATCCTTCTCCATCGGGGGGGGGGGGCATCAGCCCAATTCTGAGCCTGTGTTGTTGATACACATTGTGTTGTTGGTACACATCGTCTTGTCTTCCCCTGTGAGTAGAGCACTTGTATTTGAGGGAGACACTTGGAATGTGGCTATGCCAACATCACAGATACCTATTGGATAGTAATATCATAAATATAATATACTTTATTTATATTCTGCCCTATCTCCCCGTGGGGACTCAAGGTGGATTACAGTATACATATATGGCAAACATTCAACACTGTTATATCATTAACAAAGACAGATAGTACATAAACAGAGGTAAAGCCTTCCCATCTTTTTCCATCTCCAGCATCTGGAAGCTATGCTCGACTCCGGTCACCGGTGGGGGAGAGAGGGTGCTGTTGCTCCATTTTCCATGCTGAGGAACTTTGTTGTCTTTAGACGTTCTCCCGATCGAATCACTGGCATGTCCACATGGGCACATCTTATTACTTCCCCACCAAAGTGGTACCTATTTATCTATTCACGGTTTTTGAGCAGAAGCTGGGCTGATGGTTGGGAGCTCACCCCAATCTGGGTTTAAACTGTTGACCTTTTGATCGGCAAGATTTTCTGCAGCTGGCAGTCTAACCCGCTGTGCTAAAGTCAGTACCTGTGACATCATTGATAAAATAGGAACAGCAAATCCTTCCCTATCCAAGTTTGTGTTGTAGGAGCATTCAGTCTACTAATGAAGGTCTCTGGAGCTCCACTCATCCCTTCTCCCTCCTTCCTGTTAAGCAAGGCAGTTTACTAAATCTGAAATGGAGCCTTTTGGAGGAAGGAGGGAAGACCCTAATTCCAGAGGCCTCCATTTTAGTTTTTTTTTTAAACTGCTTTGTCTCTGAGGAAGGAGGGAAGAGAAAAGATTCAAGGACTCAGTTTCGTAGTTTTTAAACTGCCTTGCCTTTGGAAAAGGAAGGAAGGGGAAATCAGCCCCAAATGGCTCTGCAACTATAATGTGAAACACAAAAATATTAATTTTGCCACCCTAAAAATGGGGGTGAGACTATTATGCAATGAAATTTGCTTTAGCGTATTGTGGGGAATTAAAATGGCTACTCCCATACATTCCTGATGGGTACTGACCAGAATGATGTTGCTACCATCAACAGGTAAGATCACCAAGAGAGATACTGAGCCCTAGTACATGGAAAGGGCCGCCTGGTGGTGCAGCGGGTTAAACCACTGAGCTGCTGAACTTGCTGACTCAAAGGTTGCTGATTCAAATCCATGGAGCGGGGTGAGCTCCCACTGTTAGACCCCGTTTCTGCCAACCTAGCAGTTTGAAAACATGCAAATGTGAGTAGATCAGTGGGCACACCTTCTGCAGGAAGGCAATGGCATTCCTTGCAGTCATGTTGGCTACATGACCTTAGAGGTGTCTATGGACAATGCTGGCTCTTTGGCTTAGAAATGGAGATGAGCACCACCCTCTGGAGTCGGACACAAATAGACTTAATGTCAAGGGGAAACCTTTACCTTTTTAGTACTTGGAAGCACTACTTTTTGAATTACAGCTCCTAGGAGTTTGGCTGCTTGGGGAAGATGTCCAGGAAAAAAAAACCTTTTCAGGTACTTGGGAAGCCACCAAAATTCATTTTGCAGAGGATTTCCTGAGATCTCATCAGAATCCATTGCTGTAACTGGTTACTCACTATCTTTTTCCAAACAGGTCCCCTACAACGTCGGAATGCCGGGATCATTGCTGGACTCGCTGTCGCCATTGTCATCTTCAGTACGTTCATCTTCTTATTGTGGTAGGTGGTTGTCAAAGCTTGGAAGTCACTCCTTACTTAACTAGCAAAACCACTAATTCATTTCTCTACTGGTGTGACCCAATTTGACAGACTACCAGATTACTATCACCATGAATTATGTGTGTCTTCGATCATAGAGTACGTTGAGTTGGATAGATCTTTTTGTCAGAGTTAACAAGACAGGAAGGCCAATAGAGAAAGAATTCGGACTAGAAGAGTTGTTGTTTTGCCAGGCAAAAGAAACTCAAAGTACAGCTGTGAAACCACTGAGGAGCTGAGATTGGGAAGCAATTGAAAAAGAATGGAAAAAAACAATAAAATGAGGCCTGTCATGGAATGGAACAGGGCAAGAAACTGATATGTTTGTTTAGCCTCGGACCGGCTTGGGCCTTACACAAAGGCTAGTATTACCTGCTCCCTGGCCTACTGGCCTATGTGTCATTGAAGAACATTTTGGGACTCTCTTCAATAATCACCCCTTGTTGATTTTATCCTAGTTTGCCTTGTATACTTTTCTGTTGTATGCACAAAACAAACAATACTGTAATAATGTTTTTATTATTGCAGTGAACCCCTTTTGTAATATTTTAGTGTGTTTACTGTTGCTTATACAGTGCCAGGCATTTGGATACTTTTCTTCAACCCCACCTTAAACAGAGTGGGAATCATGCAAAACCTCCAGATGTAGTTGGACATCATAATCAATGTTGAGAAATGTTGCAATATCTGGAAACGTGACTATATGGTCATCTTATGGCAGAAGAAAGACCTATAGACTCCTAATGAGGTGTTTTTTTCAGAATAATAATTATTTATTTACAGTATTTATATTCCGTCCATCTCACTCTGAAGGGGACTCAGGGCAGATCACAATGCACACATACACGGCAAACATTCCACACCGTTTTTAGACATACAAGACAGACAGACAGACAAATAGAGGTATTTTGGCATTTCCAACTTTGGTGCCTGGAGGTTATGCTTGATTTTGGCCACAGATGGGTGCTGTTGTATCATCCACTATGATGCTGAGTCATTTTGATTGTATTTCCTCCGTGTTCTTTGATCGCTAGCATTTTTATGGTGTCGTAAAATATCTCCCCACTTTAAGCAGTACCTAATTTCTCTATTCACAACTCAGCTGTTTTCCAAGTGCTTAGGTGGACAGTCAGCTAGGCTTAACAGTTGGGTGCTCAATCCGACTCAGGCTTCAAACTTGCCACCTTCTGGTCAGCAGTGATCTATTGCAGCTGGCGATTAACCAGCTGTGCTACAGCCCGGCCTATAATAATCATCATAGCACTGAGTGTCAACCTATTGGTAACACATTAAGCATTAGAACTGCCTTCCCCAATCCGGCCCTTGCCAGATGAGTTAAGACTACAACTGACATATATAAATCAAATCTGCAACAATAACATCTGCAGAAATTAAGAGTGAAAATGTGAAGGGGCAGGTATAGAAAGTAATTGTTTGGACAGGCACTTTTTCCCTGACAAGGGTTCTGGGCCATGTGTCCACTGTGACTATTGGGTGAGCAAAACAATGAGAACAAGAAGACACCCCATTTTTCTCTTTATATGTTAGCCAAAATCTTCAAACATACTGGGCTGGGGCAGAGACCCATACTAGGCTTGGGCAATCCATGGTTCTAAATGGTTCTAAAGTACTTACAAAACTAAAGTTCTGGTGGTGAAAATTTCAGAACTCTAACAAAACTTTCAAAATGTAATTATTATTTCATTATTGGCGACTTTTATGACAGAACCAATTAGGAACTGCCATTTATAATGAAATTTTGAGAGTTTTGAAATTTTCATCACCAGAACTTTAGTTTTGTAAGTACTTTAGAACCATTTAGAACCATGGATTGCCAAGCCTAACCCATACATTATTTCAGTGGTAATTCTGTTTAAAATGTGCCATTGCCATTGTTCTGGTCCATGGGTAATATCCTGTTGCTGAGATGAGGCTTGAGGTGTGCAATAATATGGCTCTGCTTTGAAACACTTTTATTTCAATGGTGGTTGTTGGCTGGTCTATCTGCCAGTATTTTCCAATCTACCTCTTTATAGGATGAGGGTGTACCCAGTGCTGACTGACTTGATTTTGTGTCGGCCATAAAACCACCTCCGTAATCCTCTTGGACAGAATTCAGAATGGGTTGTTGTAAGTTTTACAGGCTGTAAGCCATGTTCCAGAAGCATTCTCTCCTGAAGTTTCGCTTGCATCTATAGCAGGCATCCTCAGAGGTTGTGAGATCCTCACAACTTCTGAGGATGCCTGCCATAGATGCAGGCAAAACGTCAGGAGAGAATGCTTCTGGAACATGGCCATACAGCCCAAAAAACTCACAGAAACTCAGTTATTCCAGCCATGAAAGCCTTCGAGGATAGATTTCAGAATGTTTAAAAACAACCCTAAACATTTAAGTAAAGACCTTCACAGTTATTGAGCAGACAGAATATGGAGTATTTTCAAGGGTGGAAACATCAGACGTTTGGGGTGATGGGCAACCATCTGCTTTTGTTCATTGTTATCTATGTCAGCAGAGTAGCGAATGAAAGGAAATCCATCTCACCTTGTAGCAGTAATGGGAATTTGGTGGCCTTTCAGACATGGTAGAATTTCAACTCCCGGCATTCCTCCCCATTGGCTGGGCTGGAAAGGACTGCTGTGAGTGGTAGTTCAAAAACATCTGGAAAGACGTACAGCTTCTGTCCCTGCCCTATAGCAACCCTATTCCTGTTTTCAGGTCTTCCTGCAATTCTCACTCTGCTCCACACCAGAACTTGGGAAAGTAATTGTTGGGGATTGCAACTCCCAAACACTGGCTAGGGATTTCTGTGAATTGTAGTTCAAAAAGTAACTGTTTTGAGCTCCGCTGGGCACTAGGTCTGTCTTGCAAAGGAACAGTCTTTCCCACCTTCTGACACACTTCTCTTCTTCTTCTAGTAAATTTAAAGCCTACGTAAGGAAGGAAAGAGAGAGGGAGGCCCTCGGTAGAGAGAGTGAAATGGCCGATTTTACAGTAAGACTCCTGGATGAAGAAGGTGATTACAGAAGGCCTGACTCAATGGCGTATTCTTGGCCCGAGGAAAGCTATTACCGACAACCCAGCTGGATGCCAGGATCACATGAGGCACTAGAAGGAGTGGATCGGTCACCATGGAAACGGGAAATGACCTTACAACCAGGTCCTGGACCAGCGCAACCATTTGGAGTGCCAGGAATGATGCCAGGACCACCACCAGTGCCAGCACTAGCGCCCCCACCAGCATTGCAACCAGGGCCAGGGCCAGGGCCAACCCCAGCCGGGGCACCAGCTCTAGCCTCACCAACAGCTCCACGTATGCCATCAGGCCCAGCTGCAGCCTCTTTGGCAGCTCCGGCACCAGCAACGGTTCCACGCATGCCATCAGGCCCAGCTGCAACCTCTTTGGCACCCTCAGCACCAGCACCAGTTCCACGCATGCCATCGGGCCCAGCTGCAGCCTCTTTGGCACCCCCGGTACCAGGAGTCCCAGGCCCAGCAGCCCCAGGCACAGCAGCCCCAGGCCCTGCAGGCCCAGGCCCCGCAGCCCCAGGTCCAGCAGCCCCAGGCGCAACAGCCCCAGGCGCAGCAGCCCCAGGCGCAGCAGCCCCAGGCACAGCAGCCCCAGGTGCAACAGCCCCAGGTCCAACAACTCCAGGCCCAGCAGGCCCAGGTCCAGCAGCCCCGGGCCCAGGAGCCCCGGGCCCAGGAGCCCCAGGACCAGCAGCACCAGGCCCACCAGCCCCAGCAGCAACAGTTCCAGCAGCCCCAGGCCCACCAGCACCAGGCTCACCAGCACCAGGCCCACCAGCACGAAGCCCATCAGGAATGGCACCAGCAACAGCACCACCACCAGCAACATCTCCGTTGCCATCTGGAGCTCCAGCAGCCCCACCACCATCAGCCTCCACAGCACCTCCTCCCTCTATGCCATCACCATCCGTACCAACACCAGGTGGTCCTCCTAATGTGCCAGCAGCTTCACCTCCAGGGCCAGCACCCCCTGCACCCAAACCGTAACACCCCAGTGTGGCAACCCCACATATCTACTTATGTAATAATAAAAGAGTTTAGTTTTCTTCCTCTTCACTTACTGATGTGGTCTGGATGTCTGGATCTGTGGCTCTACGAACCAGAGAACCCAGTAGTCCTCACCCAAGATGATCCTGCCCATCACCCCTCTCAGTTATCTTTGTCCGTTTCACTGCATTGTCTTGTGTGGCTCTGCAGGAATTCAACAGATGCAGCTTTCTCGCCATTGTGCAGAATGCTGGGCTTGCTATGGCTTTGAGAGGTATGAGTGAGGATTTGGAAATGGGGCAACCCATATTGCAGCAAAAAGAAAACCAGAGACCTTTGTTTTTTTGGGAAATATTATTGAAAAGCATTTTAAGCAATGTTTTTACAAAAGGTACAGAGGAAGAAAGGCAACTTTGTTCTGAACATACAGGTGAAGAAATGAGTCTCAGCATCCTCTTCTAATGTGGTGGATCTCAGCTCAGGTCCAGTTCCCATAGATAAGCATCATTTATCCTGATAAGTCCATTCAACCATCCATCCTACGGATAGAGCATAGATACCAAAAGTTAATCACAAGCTTGCTATGAACATATTTTCAAAAGAACAGAGCATGGAAAGGTTACTTTTTTCTGAACCTAAGTCCAAATTTCATCAAGCCACTGTGAACCCATCCTAGCTTAACTAGTTTCAGTAGTTAAGCAAGGCTAGGTCTGGTTTATACTTGGAAGAGAGTTCAGACCCGCAAGGAATGCCAAGAATCGCCATTTAGGACAAGGTAAACATCTTGCCCAAAACCCTGGAGAGGAATTGCAAGTCTTAAGTTGATAATATAAGCATACATGGGGGAGCATGGCAGCTTTTTATGCTCCTAATACCTTGGTAATTGGGGGATTCTGGGAAGTAGAAACTTTTCCAAACTCTCCAAAAGATAACATTGGGGTGTGGGCTTGAGGCAAGACAGGAACTGGTGATAGCACCACCAAATTCTTCCAGTTTGACATCAGCGCAGTGGTTCTCAACCTGGGGTCCCCAGGTGTTTTTGGCCTTCAACTTCCAGAAATCCTAACAGCTGGTGAACTGGCTGGGATTTCTGGGAGTTGTAGGCCAACAACCTCTGGGGACCCCAGATTGAGAACCACTATGGGGAAGTGGGTTAAAGCACTAAGCTGCTGAACTTGTTGGCTGAAAGGTCGCAGGTTTGAATCCGGGGAGTGGCGTGAGTACCCGCTGTTAGCCCCAGCTTCTGCCCATCTAGCAGTTCGAAAACATGCAAATGTGAGTAGATCAATAGGTACCACTCGGGCAGAAAGATAACAACACTCCTTGTAGTCATGCCGACCACATGACCTAGGAGGTGTCTACGGACAACGCCAACTCTTCAGCTTAGAAATGAAGATGAGCACCACACCCCAGAGTCGGATACGACTGGACTTAATGTCAGGGAAATGGGGAAGAGGAGAAGACAAAAAATGACAGGATATGACAGACTTCCTTTTGATAAAATGGGTTGGGCTCAGCGCTCACAGGGTCACTATTTTTCACCCAAGCAGTGTAACTGGCTCTTTAAGAAGGTTGCCATCTACAGAAGATATGGGGATCTTACACCCCTCCAGTTGCTTTTGGACAACAAAACTCCCATGAACCTCAGCCACCACAGCCAATGTTACAGCATAACTTTTACTAGCAGAAGAAGCACCAAAAGCAGTTCTCTTCCTTCCACAATCATTTTGTTGTACACACAAACCTAGTGCACCAGCTGGAGCTTTACCAGCAGACAAAAGGAATCCCAGTTGGGGTTGTCAGGTCTCTATCTCAGGCCTAGAACCTGAAAGTTAGGGACAACCTCTTGTGATGTTGCAGAAAATAGTCTGGATAGCTTTGACATCAAGCACTATTATACACAGTATGCCATTCAAATAAATAAAAGAAGCATGATGTCAATGGAATATCTATGTAGACATATAATTTTCAAGGTGGTGCGTTCACCCTGAGATTCCTTTCCCTTGTCACTTGAGACCCAGAACGCCTAAATCCAGTGGTAAGGAGTATGGGGCCCTGCAACTATGTGTATAAATTACCATATAATTGCATGCAACTACATTGTTTAAAAATAGCCTTTAAAAAGGCCTAGAAGGGAAGGTATATGGAGCTGTTCACTTCTTCATAGATCAACTGGACAAATACATAACAGAGTTTTGAAAAACTGTGTAGTTTTGTTAATTCCAGTATAAATTGACCTAAGTCAGACTTCTGAACAATTTGTACTTCATAAAGCTGAATGAACCCCAATGACTAGATAATGCAGTCACATTTCCATCCAGAAAGGCTCTGCTAAGAGTGTCTTAGATGAAGGGTTAAAAGGCATGATCATAAAGTTTGCAGACGACACCAATGTGAGAGGGATATCCAATACTCCAGAAGACAGGAGCAGAATTCAAAATGATCTTAACAGATTAGAGAGATGCTTGGCCAAAACTAGCAAAATGAAGTTCAATGGGGACAAATGCAAGATACTCCACTCAGGCAGAAAAAACAAAATGCAAAGATACAGAATGAGGAATAACTGGCTCGGGAGCAGTACGTGTGAAAAAGATCTTGGAGTCCTCATGGACAACAAGTTAAACATGGAGCTTTACCATGTGATGGTGCAGCTAAAAAAGCCAATGGGATTTTGGCCTGCATAAATAGGAGCATAGTGTCTAGATCCAGGGAAGCCATGCTACCCCTCTATTCTGCCTTGGTCAGACCACACCTGGAATCATACTGTGTCCAATTCTGGGCACCATAATTGAAAGAGATATTGACAAGCTGAAATGTGCCCAGAGAAGGGCGACTAAAATGATCAAGGGTCTGGAGAACAATCCCTATGAGGAGCGGCTTAAAGAGGTGGGCATGTTGACAATGTGCCATGGAAACCAGGAGGACTTTTTCAACAGACTGATCACACAGGATGAAAGCTGGGTCCATCACTATGATCCTGAGGCTAATGCTATGGAAATGCTATGGAAACATCATGATTCACCCCCTCTAAAAAAAGGCATGTGCCTAACTCTAGGCAGGCAAGGTCATGCTCACAGTATTTTGGAACGAGCATGGAGTAGTATTAATGGATTTCCTACCAAAGGGTACCATGTTCACTGGGGCATACTAGGCTTCACTGATGTGGAAATTGTGGGAGGCCATCAAAACCAAGAGACGTGGCATGCTCACCAAAGGTGCCTACTTTTTGCAAGACAATGTTGCTCAAATTGATGCATGCTCCTGTGGCTTTGAAATTCTACTGCATCCCCCTTATTCACCCGACCTTGCACCAGCGGACTTTCACCTCTTTCCAACAATGAAGTTATTTTCAAAGAGCAAGAATTTTTCAGATGATGAGACTCTGATTTCCAAAGTCACAACATGGCTTTTGGAGCAACCTGTTGACTTCTACAAGCGAGGTGTTTACAGTTGCTTAAAATGATGGGAGAAGTATGTGTCCTTAGGTGGCACCTAGGTAGAGAAGGACTAATAACTGTGCCGAGTTTCATTGTTCTCAGTCTACAGGAAGTGGGTCAGGGGAAATCTTTCATGAACGCCCCTCATAGAATCATAGACTCCTGTGTTGGAAGAGACGATCCAGTCCAACCCCTTGCCAAGGTCATGGAGGATATATTGACATTTCACTTTACTGTGACACATGCACACCTTGACAGGTGTTGTTCGACAAGGTGGATGATATGATGCAAGGATGTCCAGAAGAAACAATAACTCCAAGGAGGAGGGGAGGTTCTCTTGTGTCAGCCACTGAACAACATCCACTGTCTCTAGTTTCAGGCAGTAATACAGTGTTAAAAGATTAATGGAGGTAGTAAAAGAGAGACAAATGTGAGAAGGGAACTAATACTGTTGAAGAGAGAGCAAAGTTGCAGTCCTTGAATCTATGCTGATTGGCCAATATGAAAAAGAATTAGGCAGGACTTTGTCTGATCCAGTGGGACTTTTTAAAGGTTTAGATATTTAAAACCAGAGTTTGGAAAAGTTGCAGTGAATGGAAGGGGGGGGGGGCAGATCCACTTTGTAAAAATAACCAAACATGCAAAGTTGGGGATCCTGCTAGTGGCAGAAGCTTCATCCAGGAGAAATACAAGATATTCTTTCTTTTTAGCCTTCAGCACAGGAAAGGTTAACTATGCCCAGAGGTAGATTTCTTTCAGTCCACATACGGCCAACTTTCATTCACAATTGGTCATAAAAGGCTTCTTCATCCTAGCAATTGAACACCACAGTGAAACCTATTCTAATTTTAACCAATTCCCAGGTTAAAAGGGGAAAAATGCTGGCACAGTCATGGAAAAACAAGGAAGAGTGACTTTTCCAAACAGTGGAAAAACAAGCGATGGTTATGAGCATTGGAAGCTACCCTAATATTCGGGGAATGAAACAGAGCAATGTGATAAAACACTTTTTTTGAGCCTCTTCAGAATTTGAGACTTACTTCTTGAAAGTGAAGATTGTACTCAACCAGTAGGAAGATATACATGCATGCAATATGTAAATCTGCAGCTTGTTCTGTGATGGTGAAAACTGGTAACTATTGTGGGGAAGGGACTGAAATATGAATTGGGAAGTCCCACTTTCACTCTTACTTCTGCTCTCGGTTTCGGCCCAACCTTTATGCCCCCTTCCCTTCTGCCATCTGCAACATGAATAACTGCCTTGTAAAATGGTTGTAGCATTAGTGATGCACTGGGTTAAATGCGGAGCTGCTGAGCTTGCTGATTGAAAGGCCGGTGGATCGAATCCAGGGAGCGGGGGTGAGCTCCCACTGTTAGCCCCAGCTTCTGCCAACCTGGCAGTTTGAAAACATATAAATGTGAGTAGATAAATAGGTACTGCTCCTGTGGGAAAGTAATGGCGCTTCATGCCGTCATGCCTGCCACATGACCTTGGAGGTGTCTATGGACAAAGCCAGCTCTTCGGCTTAGAAATGGAGATGAGCACCACCCCCCAGAGTTGGACACGACTAGACTCAATGTCAAGGGAAAGCCTTTACCTTTACCTTTAAAATGGTTGTAAAGATTATGATGGGGATGCTGTGTGTATACACTCTTGTTAGGAATCTTGAGCCAACCAATCGGGGGTTTCTATTTGCAGTGATCAGCATTATGCATGAAAGACCCTTCTTAATAAAGTCAAGCAAGCAGTGAGATGTGGATGGCAGGTGGATTGGCAATGTGGGGAAGTCTGGCCCATGTTGGAAGGAAGAAAAGGGACCATGATTACTGACCATGCTTCTCCGTACTATATATATCTCCTTCCTTTCTTGCTCTCATCTCCCTTCTTTCTCCTTCCTCACATCTGTGAACAATGTATTTCATCCATAAGGCCGTTCCCTACAGTCAGGAATCCTCGTTGTCTGGTTCAGGGTTGCAGATGACACATGAAATTCTGGATGCGACAACAAAGGAAGTAGAGGCAGGCAGGGCTAGTGGGTGCATCATAAGTTCCGTGATTAAGTGAAGGAGGAGGTCATGCATGCATTCCAAATGTATGCATGAAAGCTTGAAAAATCATTTTTAAAATTACAGTACCCAGAACCCAACCCCCAGAAAGTATGGACAGTGGCTTTCAACAGTTAAAGTGCTCTATAAATGTACTAATGTTTAAAAATGCTTATCTATTACCAGGCACCATTCCTAACCGAATGCTAGCTGGAAAATCAAGGAAGTTGTTTTCCAGTCTGTGCATCTAGCTGAATAGTGCTTTTTTGTTTATGTTGGGTCTACAATTCCCACCGTCCTCACCAAGCACAGCCAATTGCCATTGAACTAGAGGCTGTTTAGGAAAAATTATTATAAATTGAGCCCTTTATCTTTAAAAGCTGTGCAGAAGGGGGAATTCTGGTAGCATCAGCATGTTGCAATAACAGCATGCAAGAATTAAACAACCATAGTTTTTCATCTTATACATCCAACTGTGTTCTTCTACCAGAATAACTCCAGGTTTTCAAATGCCCATTCAGTAAAGCAGAAAAGAATTCCCAAGAGCATCCACTGAAGTAGATCTGGGGACACGGACAGACTAAATAATGTAGGACTGGTAAAGATAAAGGTTTCCCTTTGACATTAAGTCATCATGTTCGACTCTGGGGGGTGGTGCTCATCTCCATTTCCAAGCCGAAGAGCTGGCGTTGTCCGTAGACACCTCCAAGGTCATGGGGCCGGCAAGACTGAATGGAGTGCCATTACCTTCCTGCCAGAGAGGTTCCTTTTATCTACTCACATTTGCATGTTTTCAAACTGCCTCCAAGGTCAAGAGCTGGCATGACTGTATGGACCACTGTTACCTTCCCGCCTGAGCAATTCCTATTTATCTACTCAAATTTGCATGGTTTTGAACTGCTAGGTTGGCAGAAGCTAGGGCTAACAGCAGGAGCTCACCCTGCTCCCTGGATTTGAACTGCTGACTTTTCAGTCAACAAGTTCAGCAGATCAGCAGTTTAACCCACTGCACCACTGGGGAGCACCACCTTAGGACAAGGTGGATAAAATGATGCTAAAGAGGTAGCGGATCGAAGTTAAAACATACACCTCAATATAATGTGTATGGGGGTGGGGGGAGAGATTTAGACAGGCGTAATCTGGTCGTGAAATGGCCATTTCTGCTTAATAGCCATCTGGCAACCAGGTTCCATGTGTCTATGTTTATATCCAAGTAATATAAACATAGCATGATAACACTGTGATGTATTTTAACAGCATGCTGATATGCAAAATTCAGGAGAATGAGCCTTTTTCTGTACGGAGTAAAATATCGATCCCTGTTAATGTTCCTGGCATACAAACAACAGCAGAACACACTATTACAATGGCTGGTTGAAAGGTTGCCAAATCTAGTGGCTATAGACCAGGCATCCTCAACCTATGCCATCCAACTGTTAGGACCTCCAACTCTCAGAAGTGCTAGCCAGCTTGTTCAATGGTTTTTTGTTTTTGCTTTTTTTCATGTCAGGAGTGACTTGAGAAACTGCAGTTGCTTCTGGTGTGAGATAATTGGCCATCTGCAAGGACTTTGCCCAGGGGAAACCCGGATGTTTTAATGTTTTTCCATCCTTGTGGGAGGCTTCTCTTATGTCCCTGCATGGGGAGCTGGAGCTGACAGGGGGAGCTCATCTTCTCTCTCCCCGGATTCAAACCTCCAACCTGTCGGTCTTCAGTCCTGCCAGTACAAGGGCTTAACCCATTGCGCCACTGGGGGCTCAGTTCCCAATGTTGGCAATTTTGGGAGTTAGGATCCCAAACAACTGGAGGGCCACAGCTTGAGAATGCCTGCTATAGACAGACACAGTCCCAAGAAAACTAGCATGGGAAAGAGCAGTTAATGTTAGGATGTCAGCTCCCAGAACCAAACCTCAATTATCTCTAATGCTGGCTATGCTGGTTGGAGGATTCTGGAAGTTGTAATCCAAAAAGATAGCATTTCCATGTTCAGAGTCTATAGTGTTTATGTTACCTCTAGGCTGCTTCCCGACTGCTTGGCACCGTACGCATGGCCAGTCCACCACCTTGGCGTCGGGACCAGGTCCGGGAGATTTTCCTGGCGAGTCGGGCCAGAGTGCCTCCCTTGGCACCATAATCCCTTGCCAGTTCTTCAGGGGCGATCTCAATATTGCCTGTATACCACATGATCCAGCCCAGCAGGCTCAGGAACACCAGAACGGCTCCGGAGTAGATCAGAAGATCCCCAAAGTCCCGGCCTCGGAGCCGAAGTCTGGCAAAGATGCCCGTCAGCAGCGCCCCAGTGCCTGCAGCGTCCATCAGCACCGCAAAGGCCAGTGCCAGTCGACAGCGACCCAATCCTGAGGAACGCATGGTCTCCAAGGGTCCTGGAGGAGACCCTTCAACTTTGCTTCTTGTTTGGAGAGTCTCAGGGCAAAGAGTGGACAAAGAGAAGACGTTATTAGAGGGCAAGTTCAACTGGGGGCAAAATCTATCTAGGAAAGAGCAAGAAGGGATAGGATACCAGGAAAGGAAAGGCCTGCTGAAGTCCAGGAAAGAAAGAAAGAAAGAAGGAGTGGCCCAGGTAAGAGACCCAGGAAAGCTGTCCAACCAGTTTCAGAAGGGGAGGGACCAAAACTCAGGTATCAAAGGAATTAACTCTGACCTGACCTCACGAGACAAGAATTCAGGCTTTCATGTCCCTTTCACTCAGAATATTAAATCCCTTCCATGGAATATAGAGTCTGCCCTTGGCAAACTTCATCCCTAACATGTTGAGAGTCTTCCCTCTTCTTTGTTGTCACTATTTGGAATCCTTGCCCCTGTTTCTGAAGAATTAGGCAGGTTTCAGATTTCTATCCCTCCTTTTCCATCTATTTAGCAGCTCTATGATTCCAGGGGTGTTTCTACACCACTGGTTCAAACCTTCCTAATGCCGTGACCCCTTAACACAGTTCCTCATCTTGTGGTGACCCTCAACCATAAAATTATTTTCGTTGCTACTTTATGACTGTAATTTTGCAACTGTTCTGAATCGTAATGTAATTATCTGATATGCAGGATATATTTTCATTCACTGGACCAAATTTGGCACAAATACCCGATATGCCCAAATGTGAATACTAGTGTGGTTGGGGGGGGGGGGGGGGGGGGGGGGGGGGGGGATCGATTTTGTCATTTGGGAGTTGTAGTTGCTGGGATTTATAGTTCACCTATAATCAAAGAATATTCTGAACTCCACCAATGATGGAATTGAATCAAACTTGGCACACAGAACTCCCAAGACCAATAGAAAATACTGAAAGAGTTTGGTGGGCATTGACTTTGAGTTTTGGAGTTGTAGTTCACCTACATCCAGAGAGCACTGTGGACTAAAACAATGATGGATCTGGACAAAACTTGGCACGGATACTCAATATGACCAAATGTGAACACTGGCGGTGTTTGGGGAAAATAAACCTTGACATTTGGAAGTTGTGATTCCTTGGGTTTATAGTTCACCTACAATCATAGAGTATTCTGAACTCCACTAATGACAGAATTGGGCCAAACTTCCCACACAGGACCCCCAGGACCAACAGAAAATACTGTGTTTTCTGATGGTCTTTCACGGGGGCCCTGACATCTCCTCACGACCCCCCCCCCAGGGGTCCCGACCCTCAGGTTGAGAAATGCTGATGTAAACTATAGAATTAATATAGTTTGATACTTTACTCCCATGGCTTTATGCTCTGGTTTTGTGGGAGTTGTGGGTAGATCTTTAGCTTTTTCTGTCGAAGTGTGTTGATGTCTCACCAAACTACAACTCCTATTATTCCAAAGCATTGAGCCAAAACAGTTACAGTAATGTAAAACCGCATTAATTTTACAGTGTAGATACACACCAGGAGTTACGTTTTGCCAATTCTTAGCTCCTCTCCCTTTGCATAGCATACTGAGTTGGTCATAAAAGAGCAGCTTGTCTTTTGAGAATTTTCCTTCCTACACAGGAACAAACAAACACACCTCTCTGAAGTGGGATTCTATTCAATCCTATTGATGTAATAAAAGTCTTCCCGCTCACCTTTGCATTGATAGCAAACCAAAAGTGTGCTGATGAATGATAAAGGGTGCATCCACACTGTAGAATTAATGCAGTTTAGCACCACTTCAACTGCCATGGCTCAATTCTATGAAATGATTGGAGTTGTGGCTTTATAAGGTCTTTAGCCTTCTTGACAAAAGTGTGCTGGCAATTCAATAAACTACCTTCTTCTTTGGAGGCTTTTAAACAGAGGCTGGATGGCCATCTGTCGGGGGTACTTTGAATGTGAATTTCCTGCTTCTTGGCAGGGAGTTGGAGTAGATGGCCCACGAGGTCTCTTCCAACTAAATGATTCTATGATTATATGATCCCAGGGCTGCATAATATTCAACCATGGCAGTTACAGTGGAGTCAAACTGCATTAATTCTACAGTGTAGATGTACCCACCCAGATATAAACAGGAGTATTCACAATGATCTGCTCGCTGTGCCATGTGGATTTCCAAAGACTGTTTTTGAAAACGCAGGAAGACGACTTTAAGCATGCTCAGCTAGGGTCAAAATTCCAATAAATGTAATGGTACTTACATCTGAGTAAATACAGATAAAGATGATATGGCAGAACATTTCCTCGCCTCTGTTTTTACAGTAAACAAACCAGATGTTTTTCTGAGCATTGCCTTTTGAATAGAAAAAAATGATATCAGAGCTAGAAATAAGAGAGAAGGAATGCATATTGATTCCCACATCATAAAAAAAAAGTTTTTTCTCCATTTTCCAGCAATTTTTGAAAAATATACTGAACTAATAATACGGACATGTGAAATAAAAACCCAGATCAGGTAAATGTTGCATAAGTAAATAAAAATATTTGGACCTTCTAGAGATCACTTCAAAGCCCTTTCCGATATGCCTCCGGGGATTATTGTTGTTCTTTTACCAGCTTCCACTTTTTTATGATTTTTACTTTGAGGATCACTTTCAGACCTTTTAATGACATGTTTGAAGAAGCTGGTGAGCAGATGGGTCTGCATTTCCCTTTCCTGTTTTGTCCTCCGTGTTGGATCATGTAAGAAATCAGTGTGTGTCAACTGTAAAATAAGGTGAACGAAGCTGATTGATTGGGCCATGCCGGAGGAGCTGGCTGAGTCTGGGACTTTTGGATACTGTTACATTTTTCAGGTTTGAGCTATGCAGGTGCTTGCAGAGAAGCAGAGAGAGACAGTGTTTGCAGTGAGTTCTTGCTTCATAAGTTGCTGGAAGGAGTTTATCCACATGGACAAAGAAAGACCATTTTAAAATATTTCCAAAAGGACATTATGTGAGTTGATGCAACTGATCACATGATTGTACATATGTTGTTCTGAATTACGAAGAGTAAACTACTTGTTTCTTATTGATCACCTCCGTGACATATGTTCTGTCTCTGGCAAGGCAGTGTGAGACTGATCAAACGCGAACTACACGTGGTTTATTCTACATTACGCTACAGTCTGCCCATAAAGTGCATCTACACTGTAGAATTAATGCACTGTGACACCACTTTAACTGCCATGGCTCATTGCTATGGAATCTGGGGAGTTATCGTTTGTTGAGGTGCCAACACTCTTTGGCAAAGGAGAATAAAGGTCTTGCTAAATGACAACTCCCAGGATGCCACAGTATTGAGCCATGGCATTTAAACTGCATGAATTCTACAGTGCAGATGAGCCTCAAATGTTGTCTAAATATAGCCTCTCCCTCTCATTTCTGCCACTGTGCAGCTGTTCAGAAATTTCAAGGAAGTGTATCTACACTGTATTTAACTCCACAGTAAAGTACAAAAGCCTGATTCATGTTACCCAAGTGGCATGACTGCTGCTTCCCTGGAGCTGGATCCAGCGCTACACAGAGAGCATTCAGACCACAGCCGTGGATCATGTGCTAAATGCTCACATCAGCAGCGCCACTGATCCATAAGGAACAGCGGCACTGATATGGGAACTCTTCATCTCGTCTCATGGGACACAAACGTTACCAAAGCTCCTTTGGGTATCAATAATGAAGAAAGCATGTCTCCGATATCTCTCCTATGGTGCATCTACACTGCGGAATTAATGCAGTTTGACACCATAACTATCATGGTTCAATGCTATGGAATAATGGAAGTTGTAGTTTGGTGAGGCACCAGCACTCTTTGGAAGATAAGGTTAAAGCCCTTGTAAAACTACAAATCCCATTATCCTTTGGAAGTTTTAAAGCAGAGGCCGGCTGGCTGGCTGGACATCTGTCAGGAATGCTTCGATTGTCATTTTCCTGCATGGCAGGGGGTTGGACCAGGTGGTCCTTGTGGTCTCTTCCAACTTTATGATTCTGTAATTCCACAGGGCGGTAAAGTGGTGTCAAACCGCATTAATTCCAACAGTGTAAATGTATCTACAAAAAGGTCTACAAAAAGGTCCACTGCTCATTTCCTAACAGCTGAGGTATACATGAAATATACAAATTTTCTGCCATTTCAAAATCCTACAACTTCTAGGAGTGAGTGTTTTAAAAGAAGATCAAGACATTTCAAACTCACACATATGCACCGCATATTGATCTATGCAGCTTTTTGAACTAAAGCATTTCAGTCAAGTCTCCAGAGAGTTATCTCATTGACATTTTAAACAAATGTTGCTCTGAACACTGCAGGATTTCCACTCTACTTGTTTTGTCATTTTCTTTTTCTTTGGTGTCTGTTCCTTAACTGATGAAAATCTCATTATAACTGTACTGGGTTTTCCCCCCACTGTATTTTTCCTTTGTCATTCCAACCAAAGAAAGCCATGACAACACAGCAATATCTTTAACTGTTGTGGCTTTTCCAATTTTAAATGATAATAAATATAGTAAACATTGCAGTACTGTGGTATCCGTTAGGGTTTGGTTCCAGGATCCTATTGCAAAAACTAAAATCTGTGGATTGTCAAGTCATAGAATCATAGAACTGGAAGAGACCTCGTGGGCCATCCAGTCCAACCCCAATCAGCCAAGCAGGAAAATCACATTCAAAGTACCCCTGGCAGATGGCCATCCAGCCTCTGTTTAAAAACCTCCAAAGAAGGAGCCTCCACCACACTCCGGGGCAGAGAGTTCCACTGCTGAACAGCTCTCACCGTTATAAAGTTCTTCCTAATGTTCAGGTGGAATTTCCTGTAGGGACCAGGCAAGTCATTTGCAAGCACGTGCTGTAGCATATTCTAGATTTTGGGGAATTTTAAGTTCCTGTCACTGTGTTTTTTGGGGTTTTTTTCTGAGTGATCGTCACGCCTTGGGTTAGTAGGTATGTTGTGGACAAATTTGGCGTCAATTCCTCTTGCGGTTAATATTAATATGAACAATAGTAATATCAATAGGATATTACTATTAATTTATACCAATAGTAATATTAATAGACTATCATTACTATTAATATATTTATGAACAATAGTAATATTAATACTATGAATAATAGTAATAGTAATATTTTACTATATTAATATATATTACTATTATAATATTACTACAGTAATATTAATATATTACTATCATTAATATAAATATGAACAATAGTAATATCAATACTATACTATTAATATATGACAACAGTAATATTAATATACTATCATTACTATTAATGTATGAATAATGGAACCCCCCGGTGGTGCAGTGGGTTAACCCTTGTGCCGGCAGGATTGAAGACTGACAGGTCGCTCCCTCTATCAGCTCCAGCTCCTCATGCGGGGACATGAGAGAAGCCTCCCACAAGGATGGTCAAAACATCAAAACATCTGGGCGTCCTCTGGGCAACGTCCTTGCAGACGGCCAATTCCCTCAAACCAGAAGATACTTGCGGTTTCTCGTCACTCCTGACACAACA